AATCCCAGAACAGCATAATCTTGGGACTGCCATAATGAGTTACAAATCTAAAATCCTTGTTGGCCTTGAACATATATCAAGGTCTTTTCTGTCCTTACATGGAAGTCCCATGGCTTCCTGCAAAGCAATTACATTTTTCCTGTAGCGAAAGAATAAGTTATCATCAGGTCCAAGCACGCGCCCTGGAGTCACACCCCTAAATTCTGCACATGCTTTTCCTGGTGATTCAAACCCAAATGGCTCTGGACAAACCTCCGAGCATCTCTTACAGAGGCTCTGCCGTGAAGTGAGCACATGGAAATACCTTTTGCACTGACAGCCCCGGGGCTGCTGTCAGAGATGCCTTGCTGGTAGTTGAAAAATGCCTTGACCGTCCACAGAAATGCAAAGTGGAGCAGCTACACGGAAAAGGAGTCAAAAGAGGAATGTCAGAAAGGTGGATATGGTGCTTGACAAAGCCTGAAATTGTTAGTTCATGAGGTCAGCACTTCTCTGTGGTGTCCTTATTCCAGATTTGTGGCACATAAAAGGGCTTTCGGTGTTGTACCCACTCACTTGATCAAGGTGTTCTTCACTTGGAAGGGAATTAATTCATTTAAATAGGGGAATATACATCCCATCCACAGCCTGACATAGTCTACCCCTGCACCCCGGCGTGCTGGTGTCCGTAGGAATCCTGTATCCAGAGCTCACGTCTTCCAGTCACCCGTACTACACACAGTTTGGGGAAAAATCCCAGCTCCGTGGAGCACAGCGCAGACACGAGGATTCCCAGTCTAGGGTCGGTCAGTATGGCATTAAGCTGAAATAGAGTTGAAAAATCGATCACTTATTAAAAACAGAATTTCACGATTTTTCCAATTTTTCCTTTTTTCAAAAAAGTGCCCTTTATTTTGGCAGGAAGCTTGCTTGTTTTCAATGAGAGAATTTTCTCTGTTTTCTTTCAGGCTTGTGAAAAAAAACATTGCTATTTGTGTACATTTTCATCAGCACTGTGTTTCAAGGTATGAGCTGTTGGGTGCCTGGCCATACCATAGGACTGGACACCAAAAGTCCTGGGCCTTTTTGTGGTTTTCCTACTGCTATGAGAGACTCCTTTTGGGCACATCACTCAGCATCACAGTATTCCAGGTATCCTTATCCCAGGATCCCATCTGACTAACATTAGGTAACAGCGTATTTGAACATGACCGATGGAAGAACTAATTAGATAATGGCCACTGCATATGCAAAGAGCTAAACTGACATTACATCAAGGGAGATGCTAATTGCAGCTGATTAATCCAACAGCAAGTGCCAGAAAAAATATACGTACAGAAGCGGCACTCACTGCTCAGCTATTAATGCCCATGACATGCCTCATTTCCAAGAGAGCTTGGCCACATATAAAAGCTTTCAGCCCCAGCTCTGTCCTCAGGACTCAGGCTCCCTGTTCAACCCATAGGCACCGGTCACAGGGTGAGTTGGATTCACTCAGCTGTCTCAGATTCCTCTTTTTCTTTTTTTTTTTTTCATAGAAACAGCCAAAAAAAAGAGAAGTCAATAGGTTTTTTTTCTTTTTTCCCAGACTGTTTATCCCCAAGGGCTTGGATATCTCTGCCACAGGATGCTCTACCATAAAGGCAGCAGCGACGACGACTTGTGCCACGACAGCTCGGTCTGTGGCGAGAAAGGCTGGACGTGGCACGGTTCCACAGGGTGTTGCCACAAAAGCCCTGTGGGTACCACGGACCTGTCCCCTTGCTGTGACCACGGCAGCCTCAGCCGCGACATTGAGGGGTCCTGCCAGAGCGAGCCGCGAGGCTGCCAGCCCATGGAGCCGTGCCCACCCCCCCGCCACAACAAAGCTGCAATTTTGGCAAGCCCCGGCGGCGGGTGGAGGTGAGCCATGTGCAGCCCGTCTGCCCTTCACCCGTGAAAATCCATCGCCGGCCGCTGCAGCAGTATCGCCCACCCCTGCACTGTGAGGAGCCAGGTTGCTGCGGCAAGCCCCGGTGGCGAGTGGAGCAGTGCCCCATGGAGGATGCCTTTCCCCCCATGATCCTGCATCCCCGGCCGCTGCAGCATCGCACCCCCTGCATCCCATGCTGCCGCCCACCCATCCAGCACTGCTGCCCGGCTGCTGTGCCCCTGCTGCTGCATCCCAGCCAGCACCAGCAAAAGCAGGTCCCTCTCTTGCCACCTTGTCTGCAGAAGAAATGAGCACGGGGCCAGCGAGGCGCTGGGACCCCTCGCCAGCACATGCCCACAAGCCCCTCAGCGTGGGGGATGCTTCGCTCCTCACCCAAACCGCCGATGGTCCCACCTCGGCTTTCGGCATGGTGCAACTTCACCAAGGCTGATGGCTCTTCGCTGCTCTTTGCACTCTGGATTCAGGGTCCGCAGTCCCCTGCTCGACCCCAGCACTGACACTTTAAATTCCCAGGGTCCTCCCCTGCCACGGAACAGGCTTTAATAATCCAAATCCCACTTTGCTTTGCCTCAGGGTAGAGCAGCCGTTTCTTCTCTCTTCTGAGAAGGTGAGCAGCCTGGGGACGGAGAAACTGAATGGAAAGAGCCTGAGTGAGGATGAGAAAACCGCTTGCCATGGAGTAGCTTTTTCCCATGGGCTCAGCAGACTATGATTTCAAGGTTGTTTGAAAACAGAGACAGGACTGTACTGGGAAAGAAGTACACACTGTGACTGCAGGAGCATCAGGGACTCCTGCAATTTTATTTTCCCCCTGTGTATTCAAGAATAAAGTTGAAAAAATTTAGTTGACACTTGTTTCCTTCTTTTTTTACCCTCAAAAATATTACTGACATTACAATGAGAAGATGTTAAAAGTCATTAAAATTCTCACAAGGAAACTTCTAAATTTAAAATCAAAACTCGCACACGAGTTCACACGTGAGGATTTCAGCCTGGCTGTAGTGGTTTCCCCAGGCTGAACTCCACCTGTGCATGCTGTAGAATCCTCTCCACTGTGGTTACCCACCGCAGGACCAATGGATGGACTTCACTGTGGTCCAGGTACAAACAGTTTGCTCTATATTGCATGCCATCACCTTCAGCAGCTAGATAGTAACACTGCACCGGGAGGCCATCCGTCTTATAAACGTTAATCACGATAATAAGCGTGTGCTTGCCCAGCCTGTGAGGTGTGCCTGTGCATGCCA